GTGGGGGGAGGGGCCAGGCAGGGTAGGGGTTGGGGAGCCTTTTTTTTCATTCACACACATGACTCTTGCCCCACCTCAAAGGGGTTTGAGGCGGGACAGGAGACATGGGCGTGCTAGTCTGGATGCGGCCAAAGAGTTTGATTTTTAAGGCAGGGGTATCAAACTCATACATACGCAGCCTGTAGGGGGTTAGTTTGCAGCCCCTGAGCTTCTACCTAGCTTCCATTCTTTCTCCCCCCAACCCTGGCTACTAGGGCAGCTAGAGAAATGGGGATCCAGGCTCCCCCGCTCTCCTCTGTCATCTACTACTTGCCCCTGTGGTGCAGTACATTGAGGGAACCCATGGCTTGGAAGCTCAGGGTGAGGCCAGGGCACCCAGGTGCATGGTGCTATGGGGCAGTGGAGGGGTGGAGACCTGCATGGTATTCAGCCTGACGGCCTGTGTTGCAACTCGCACACCATGTTCCCCTGGCCACTTAGAAGCCGGGCAGCTCTGATTTAAGGCTTTGATTCTAAGAACACATGCTTATGTAGATATTTGCAGGCTCAGAGCTCAAAAACCAGGTTCTAATAATGGACTGAAACAAATATTCAAGTGAGTGAATAGGAAGGAAAGGGTAACAATGATAAGGCAGTACCAATAATCATACAAATTCCTGCTATCCTCCTATTTTGGTGTTTTTTGGCTTAACCCTTGTCTACCCAAGCATCTTATTGTCACAGATAACTTGCCATTTAAGACAGAGTAGGAATAAAATGTGTGCAAGACTGCGTTCCTCAGAGAGATGGCAAATGGAAAATAGAAATAGCTGTGAGAAATAGCAGATATAAAATAGTGTCCTTGGCTATATTTAATTACCCAGGTGTAATTTTTTTCCTTTTATTACTCCAGTTAGGTCAAAGGTCTATTTAAAATCTGTGATGCGATTCTGAAACTTGGTGTGCTGGAGGGACTTGTCTTTGCACGTTCTTTTAATCTTTTTGTCAAAATTCAAGCAGCGCATTATCCTGGTGCATAATGTTTGTGATACTAGCATGTCTGGCATGCATCCTGGGGAGTAGAGAAAGCACCTTTGGTCTAGAGATCAAGTGTGCTTCTTTCCTTAGTTGTGATGTTTACTATGGAGCATGCCGGGGAGAAAGCTTCTGGAACTTTTTTACTTGATGAAGGAATTGTTTTGAAGTATCATTAGTAGGATGCCATGCTAAAAACAGCGCACCTTTCAGTTTATGGCTACTAGTGACTTGAACTACTTATTTTGAAAAAAGAAAGAAAATATTAAAACAAGACAGATCCTCTCACTCTAAAAAACCTGTCACTGATGGTGTTATACCTGCTACTTTAACTAAATTTTGCTACAGTTTTGCATCTCTTAGTATCTTAATCTAATAGCAAATATCTGCCTATTTGCTAGGTGCTGTATATAGGGTCTGATGCTATGGGTACTAGTGTTACCAAAGGCAGTTTTGTATGTATAATGCTAGCAGGATCCCCTTGATGCATTCCATTGTATCAAACAATATCAATATCTGGGCATAGAGCTAATGTTGCTTGTGACAAAGTAGATCTATGGGGCAAGTTCTTTACTACTGTCTAGTCATTTATAATGGTATCAAATGGATGCTAAGAAACCAGCATAGTTGAGTTTTACAGACACCACACAGGCATGAAGGGCTAAAAGACCACAAACTATTCACATGTGATAAAGTGTGAGTAAAATATTCCAGTCCAAGAAAGACATAACTAAAACATTAATATGAACATATATTATTTATGTAGTGAATATCACTGATCATATCTTATCACTAAGATTATTTTTGTTCTAGTATGATACTGCTTTGGTCAATTGCAATATATTCCTTCCTTTATGCCCATTATCACTTGCATAAAGCTTTGGTTTTTATGTAGCTGGTTTTTTGTTCTCTTTTTCAATTGGACTGTGGGAGGAGGAACAGCCAGGCAAAATTGATTAAAAAAACAACTTGCAGGAACGAGCACGGGACTGTCTCTTTAGTCAAGTATTTATTTATTTATTTATTTATTTATTTATTTTTAATTTTTAAACAAGTTATAAAATGAACCTTCCATTTGATAGCATAGTAAACTGTTAATACATGCACCCTTTCTGCTGAGATCTCTTCTGGACAAAATTAAAAAGAAAGCGAGGCTTTAACACTTGCAGAATTAATGTATTGGCTGATTTGACTAAATTGGTGATTCTTGACCAGGGTGCCATAGTACCCTGGAGTGCCTTGGGATCCTTTCATGGGTGTCACACAATGTTGGCACCGTTAGGTGTGAAAACACACTCACAAGAATGACCTGGAGTTTTCACATGGGAATCCATAGTGCTAAAAATATTCTGATGTGTTTATAGTCTTTCTGAGTTCTTTGCAACGGAAAACTTGCTCTCGGTTTTTATTTATTTATTTATTTTTTTTGGAGTGCAGGAAAAATAAAGTGACAACTAGGAACTGGCATTTCCTAAGGGGTGCCTTTAGTCCAGAAAGGTTGAGAGCAACCAAGGAGATTTTATACTTCCCCTTAACATCTCTTCATAGAACCTTGTTATTAGTGATGTTTATTTATTAAAAATAATACTTCAATGAGGGGGACACAGAGGGGAGATTTGTCTGCTACTAAGTCTTTGGGTACATTTTTTTTGTTTTCTTTTGCTTTCATACTCATTGCACTCGGGCTGCTAATGATAATTGTAATATGCTGGTGGAGGGAGCGGGGCAGTCTGCTCAGATATTTTGAGTGTGATTCTTATTTACTAAAATCGATGGGAGTTTTTTTTTCTATTTGCAGAATTTAAGGTCAGTGTTACCAATCTCTCTTATTTTCTTCTCTCTCTCTCTTTTTTTACTGACAGCCAAACTTTTTATTGGCAAATGTTTTTCCTGACCTGTTTTATGTAATGAAAATGGAATCCTTCTGCTAGACCCTGGATGGCAGAGACAAGGACAGAGTTCAAATTTAGAGGTTTAACATGAACCGTAGTTAAACTTACTTTTTCATGACAAAAAAAAAAAAGTTTAAAAAAAATTCTTGAGTTGGCAACGCAATCTGACTGCAGCAATGGTTTTAAGCCATGCTGCTCCTACCGCAGGGATACTTTACTCACCCCCATTCTCTGATACCCCCAACAGCACCCCACGCAGTGCTGCTCCCACTTTCAGCCTTATCCCCACTAGCCCATGCTCCCCAAGTCTGGCATAGGGCTCCACCTACTGCCTGTCCTCTTCCTAGCCTTAAATTTAATCTTGGCTGCATTGTCTCCCTCCTGTACCTTCAAGGTGAGTTGCTGTTGGACATAGGGGGTGGCCAAAGGGTTGCAGTGGCAGCACGTGGCTGGGCAGTGTGGAGGAGGTAACACAAGCTCTCTTGAGCCACACAGCCCTGATGAGCAACCTGAAGGGTACTATGCTTATTCTCAGGTGGCTGTGGTCTGCTCTGTCGGAGCCATTTGTAAAAATGATGATCAAGTTTATTTTGTCCTATTTTTATAAGCTGCACACAATTTACAGATGGTGGGCAATCCTAAATGAGAGTAATCTTATAGATAAGCAAAAGTGTGTGTGTGTGTGTTTGTTTGTTTTTCAAAAGCATGTGTGTTAATAGACAGCAAACTACTAAAATCTCCATTTATTTTATATATATATGAATCGCATGTATAGAAATTGTTTTTTTTTTCTAGTTACAGGGATGCAGAAAAGAACTTTCATAATATATCAAACAGATGCTCGTATACAGACTACTCTGGCAATGATGAAGCTGAAGATGTCTCAGGAATTCTCCAGTGTACAGCTAATATACTTGGTACTTTACTTTAATTTATTTTTTTTAAATGGGGAGCAATCTTTCTTTTAATTGAAGATGACAAAAGCTAAGATAGTTTAAGATAAAGTCAGTGTTATGTCAATATGTTGCTGTCGTTCTTGTTTTCCTTTCTAGGCATATTTTACAGATCTGAAGTATGACATTATAGACTGCTTATTCATTGAAAGTACTATTAACTTGGTTATCCCTGAAATTTGGAATTTTAGGTGCTTTGAACCCAAATTCATTTGGAGGTGCCCAGGTGTAACTAAGAAATGAATCTGGTCCCCAGATCTGGGTCACTTAGGTATTAAATGTTTCATATAAAAAGCAGGTGCACGTGGGTTTTATTAACTGTATGGATATGATGTCTTACAGAACACATCTTGGGAGAATGTATTGCCTTTCATTATGGGAGTATCTTAAATGATTTTGTGCCATTCATGCTGACAGATCCCACCTATAATGGATATGTATAAATGCTAAATCTAAAGATGACAACTGAAGTGCAGTCAACTTTTGGGCAACACATGCAACTACTTGACAGAGCAAGTAACGATCCATGAGAGGATAGAAAACAAGTAGGATTATTCTATTAAGCTGAAAATACCAAAAGAACATAGACTGTACAAGTCTGTAATTAGCTAAGCTAGTTTTTTTCATCTGTTTTGTGCATATAAGCTAAAATCGTACCTGAAGCCTTAATTTGACCATCTTGGTAAGCCATATAAAAGACTTAAAACTGAAATTTGGAAAACAGTTTTTTGCACTGTCAAATTATCAGTTCAAAATAGAGGCAGTTGGCTTTATAGCTGAACACTATTGTGTTTTCTTCAACTTTAGTTCCTGCTCTACCCTGGAACACCAGTAAAATATTTATGCTTTTAAAGCTGACTTTTTTTCTCCCTCTAACTGCTCTAAATCCACGCTAAGAATGAGAGCAGTATACAACACTTTTAGTAAATAACTGAAACTTCTCTTCAACAAAAGTGTTCATTTTTATTGTTTTGGATTTTTTTGAAAGATCATCATTAACTGCTGGTTAAGTAGCTAACTTTTACATTAAAATTTGAAGAAGTAAAATGCTAAATATTAATGCTACTAGGGACTTATTTACAACAGTGACTTATTCACGTAGTGGCAGAGCTGATGCCATTGCTGCTGCTTGTTGGCATGTAGCAATTAATAAAATTTGCTCTGAAATTTGTTTTAAGCACTCAGTCTTGAAGTGAATTTACATATGGGTTATTTTGCCACTGGAAACTTGAACCATCTTTCTCTTTCTGATCTGTTTCTGAAACTACTAGCAAAGCACCAAGTATTATTCATTGTTGTTGCTATAAGATGCTTACTAGTGGTAGATGCTTTTTGAACTTTTAATACTGAAATTATGATGCCTATGGCTGTTTTTTGTTTTTTTCTAAACAATGTTTCATTATCTAAGATCTTGTCATCACTACTAGTACTATAGTTGAGACTTTTTAAAGGAAATCCTAAGACTGCAGCAGGTGGGAGATGGTTATAATACAGGGGTAGGCAAAGTCCAGCACACAGGCTGGATCTGGCCGGCAGTGGACTCCATTTCCCAGCAACCCCTGTCCATGTGGCTGGGGTTGGTTTCCATGGAGACCCCAGCAGCAGCCAAACTCATAGTGCAGGGCTAGGGTTTCCATGGAGACCAACCCCAGTAGCACTGGTAGGATGAACGTCAGGGCAGGGAGCTGCTCTGGGGCTGGGCTGGGTTCGGATCTTGTAGCAGTGACAGCATGGTCTGGAGCATGAGATCTGCTGCCTACACGCCCCTGCCTGGAGCATGCAGGCAGCAAATCATGGCTCTGCCCTGGCTCCAGATGATGCTGTCACTGCTGTAAGATCCCAGCCTGTCCCTGAGCAGCTCCTCACCCTGCCAGTGCTGCTGGGGCTGGTGTGCAGGGCTGGGGTTTCCATGGACTATCACAGTGTGGGTGCTGCTGGGGGCTCCATGGAAACTGGCTCCAGCCACATAGGCAGGGATTGCTGTGAAATGGTGGATCCAGCTGATGGCTGGACTCCATTTTGCCCACCCTTGATATCATAGGTGCCAGCTGGGTGTATCTACACAAGAAGCTAACTAACTTCACAGTAGCTGAATAATACTGCATAGGAGCACATCACAGCATAGACGGTACTAACATGCTAGTGTGCAGGCTTATTAGGCTACTGTACAGTAGTGTCACTAAAAAGGCATTCCGTGGTGCTACTGCATAGTAACTCTGGTTACTGTGCATTTATTTAGTTCTTGACTTATACAAGTACTAAATGCTACTGCACGGTGGTTACTGCACATTTGTCTCATGTAGATGCACCCACTGGGCACATCTACAGGAGATGCTTACTGAGCAGTAGCCTAATAACACTGCACAGTAGTGTGCCAGTCAAACTGTGTTGATATGCTGCTGTGTAGTGTTGGTAGGCTACTGCGCAGTAAGCATCTCAAAACATGTGTCAGTGCTGTTGCCCAGTAGCATGAGTTATTGAGAATTGAATTAGTAGTTGGTTAACCAAGTACTAAACTTAATGCGCAGTAACTAGGGCACATTAATGAATGTGTAGATGTGCCCACCTTACAGTTAATAGTACCAATAACGTTTACTTGGAAATGGACCAAAATTTAAGCATGTGGGCTGTTCTTAGTATTATGCTACTTGATAGGTTGTTGGCATGGAACACAATATTTAAGGACCTGACCTTGTATAATAATTTAAGATTTGATTCCTGTCTTTGTAAAAGGCAAGATAGTACCTCTTGAAGGTATCAAGAAGACCCATCTGAGTGCTTACCTAAAATGTCTTTTGCAGTTGGATACAACATTTGTCATCCTCTTCTATCTTAAACTGTTGCGTAGGACTGGTATACATTGTAAAACAGCTGATATATGCCATCTGTGGTCTGTCCAAGAGGTGACTGCATTCAATGATTTGATGAGTTTGTTTTGCTCTTCATTTGAGCCTGAGGCTGAAAAGTGCTCAGTACCTTGCAGATCCAAATCAAAAGGGTTCTAGGAATTCTTAAGAGCCAATTAAAAGTCCTAACTTCTCGCATTGGACACTGCTTGCATATTCATGACTCACTTCATCACTTTTCATAAGACTTGCATATACTATGCATGTTTTCCTGAAAATCAGTACTCGTGTTTAACTATGAAACTACATGTTCATGGGGTATCAACTCTATGGGTGATTTAAAAATGTCTTATAATTATTTTTTAGCTGTAGTCTGTTTTTAAAATGTATTTGAAATGTGTCTAGATCATACAATATGGTCTAGTGATATGTACCTGTCATTAGGACTAGGGACAGACATTACACATAAACCGGTTCAAGTGATCAGAAACTGGTTTAAACCTGTAACAGAACAGATGTTCAGTGTGTACATACCCGTTTGAGAAACTGGTTTCAGCCAGCCAGAGATAAACCTGGTTGAATGTAGTATCACACTTAACTGATTTGGCTCAAACCGGTTTATGCAATGTCTGTCCCAGACTCCTTGCTGGTTTAAGCTAAACCAGACTCCCCCATCATCCTGGCATACTCTCTGGGTGGGGTGGAGCTCTCTGCTTCACAGCAGGGTGGGCTCCTCCCCTCTGCTCCCTGGCTCCAGCTCCAGAGACTGCAGGCTGTTTCCCGCCTCCCCTCGCCACTCCCTACTAAGCAGGAATTCCTCCTTCCCCTCTGCCTTGCTGGGGAGGTGTCTGTGTATTGGCTAGCAGACCACATGCTGGCTACTGTCTGTGCTGAATCAACAAGTAGCTGGTAATATCCCTCTCATTTTCTTGATAACGGTGTTTATCACTCATCTAATTCCCTGCTGGTCTAATCAGAATTTCCTGTGGGAGCCTGGCCATGCCCCCCTCAGTTCCATGCTGTGGAAGGAAGGGAGGGCTGCTCTAGTGTCCCCTGGTTTCTAGCCTGAGCCACTGCAGGCATGTGCCTGCATTTCTGGGATGTCTGTCCAGTTACAAAACTGATTTAACCTAGCCAGGTTTGACTAACCTGCAAAGATTGAATCAATTTGGGCTCGGGCTTTTTGAATGTCTGTCCCTAGCCTAGGACTACACATTAGTGTAGTGCAGGGGACTATATTAGCTGATAGTTGCCTCAGGAACTGCTACTATGCTGGTTTGAGGAAGGGTAAAAATATTTTAAAATACTTAAAGGTGAAAAGAAGCTACTGTTAAGAAAATCTCACTTTTTCAACGTGAAGTAAAGATCAAAATAAGAAGAGCAATTAGAAGACCAGAATCCTAAGGTAATATTTTAATAACTGCTTATTTCCTTCTCTCTTCTCTCCTATCCAGTGACATGAATTGAAGATAGTGTACCAGCATTAGTTCTGACTTCAACATTTTAGTCAGTAGTCTGTGTCACATCAGGCAAACTGTTAATGGTCGCTACCTAATTAGCCTTTACATTTGTGTGGTGGTTTGTTTTCCTCAGTGAGTAGAGATTATTGAAAGATTGCTTTATCTGAATAGGAAACAATCCCTGGAGAGTGTAACCAGCATAGTTGATCTTCTTGTAACATTCTTGAACAGAAGATGCAATTATTTCTTTAACTGTGATGTTATTTAAACAAATGTTGATCCAAATTCTATTCTCAGCTTGCTTATATAATTGAGAATAAAGATTTCCTATTCAGAACACTGTTCCCTGTGCAGCCCAAGGGTTGTTTGTTTATGCTAGAAGTGAATATTTAACAAACGAATGTTGCTTGGCCTGTAATACTTGGGACAGTGGTTCTCAGCCTTTCTAGACTCAAGGCATTCCTCCATACCTTTTCTGAATTTTACCAGGAGCCTGGCTGAGAACCACGGTTGTAGTGTCTTGGCTTACATATTTTATCAGGTAAATGTCACGTAGGCAGGAGCTCTCCCCTGCATAAGGTAAACCTCATGCAGCAATGGCAGCCTGAAGATTAAATCCATAGAAAAGTGTTCTCAAATGTCTATTTCTCCAGCCAGC